TTTTTTCCCCATCTAGATTAGTGTTAGGAAAAGATGTCATTTCTTGTAGTACCAGGTGGGTGTGGGGGGCAGACTCCCCATTGGATATCTCATCTGAAATATCAGGATTTACTCTTTTAAGATTTTTAAATTATCCCTACATTTTGTCTCCTACTAACATGAAAATGTTTTGTTTTTTTTTGGACGGTGGAGTAGTCACACGGTGTAACTTAACCTAATCAGATGAGACCTAGGGGTTAGGTTTAATAGTAGTTGGAAGCATTGTCAGAAGACCTCTGTGAAAGGAAAGCCTGAAAGTGATTTCACCTTTTTTATATATATTTAAAAATAGACACTTCTTACAGGCAAAAGAAGCCTATTTTTTATTATTATTTAATAACACATGACCCTCTTTCTGCCCCCCCCCCCCCAACTAACTCTCTGTACCTCCCCCAGTAAAAAGCCCTAGAAAAACCACCGTGCAGTACACCCTCCCTTGGAGAGAATTTAGGACTTAGCAGTAATTTTTCTGTAGTCATTTAACCTGTTTTAAATCAGAAGCTTGATATGTTAGCAGCTTGATTGCGATCAACCAGGTGAAGTAAACGTGTTGAAGATTTGTTAACACAGTTAATGCTTATCGAGTCAATAAATTACCAGTAAGTTTGTGCCATATTCCAGTGTTATGCTCGAGTTTTTGTGTTCTTCGGAATTGTTGGGAAATCAAAACAAAAATCAGCTCAACGAATAATAAAGATTTTAAAGAATACCTACCCTACTTCTGAACGTGTAAAAAAAAAGTGGATACTTGTTTCGTTAACTTGACAGTTAGATCTTCTGAGCAACATTATATAGGCAAATTTCAATCTAAAATATTATTATCGGTATGGTATTTGATGAACTGTGCACAATTGGTCTTTTCACCCAGCTGTGGAAAGCCTAAAACGTTGTTTTTATTTGTAGAAACGAACGGAAGAATTGAATGTATGTATCTTCAACGGTGTGTTTATTCTAATTAACCAAATGTTCAAATATATTTATCATCAACAGACTAGCCGGGTGGTTAGGGCGCTCGACTAGGCAATCTGCGGGTCGCGGGTTCGAATCCCGTCACACCAAACATGCTCGCCCTTTCAGCCGTGGGGCATTATAATGTGACGGTCAATCCCACTATTCGTTGGTAAAAGAGTAGCCCAAGAGTTGGCGGTAGGTGGTGATGACTAGCTACCTTCCCTCTAGTCTTACACTGCTAAATTAGGAACGGTTAGCGCAATAGCCCTCGTGTAGCTTTGCGCGAAATTCAAAAACCAAACCATCAACAGACTATTAATTATTCCAGTCTGATACTCTTTTGCTTGAGGGGGGGAGGTCGTATTTCTTATTTTATTTTATTCTGTTCTGCAGTTCCATGATTTATTTCGCTACTATATTGCAAAAAGGAGAGAACTGTTAACTTGGCTATATGTCATTCTTATATAATCGGTTTGTTTCGTTTTATCTAAAGACAAAAATTTACTACGAGAATCCCCTGTATTTTTTAACTTGTGCGTGTGTATGATTTGTTTCGTTAGATATGAAACAGCTCCATGTTTATATTCCCTATACAAGTATTAAATATTTGAATCTTATCCAAGTGTTAGTTATTAAAACTTCTAAGATAAATGTATTTAAAAGGGTTGTTATAGTTTGAACTTATTATTACCATCAATTTGGTTGCATGGGGATTTTATTTTTTGAAGATCGTTAAGACATTTATTTTTTTTTTTCTTAATTGAAAATGTTTAGTCATACCGAGTTATAATTATGTTTGCTTCAGAAATTGTATTTATTTTAAATACGTGGAAAGCAATTGTTGAAATATAGTAAAGATAATTATGTATATATATATGTATGTATGTGAATTTTATTTGTGTCATTTTGATATAAAGGCGTTGTACCAAAGCTACCCTTCCCCTCCTAGTGGACCGTCTTGCGTAATCAACACTTTGGCTCGTGCCCTTATGAGCCTGGCCCGGCATGGCAATCTGAAGAGTCGCGGGTTCGAATCCTCGTCACACCAAACATGATCGCCCTTTCAGCCGTGGGGGCAATATAATGTGACGGTCAATCCCACTATTCGTTGGTAAAAGAGTAGCCCAAGAGTTGGCGGTGGATGGTGATGACTAGCTGCCTTCCCTCTAGTCTTACACTGCTAAATTAGGAACGGTTAGAGCAGATAGCCCTCGTGTAGCTTTGCGCGAAATTCAAAAACAAACCCTTACGAGCCCAGCTGAAGATTTTATTTTTATACAATTTATCCTGCTACAGTGACCAACTTTTATGTATGGATTATCAGTTTCTTATCGAAGTATGTGAAATGAGGCTTTGTTTAACTTTCTTTGTTCAGTATATGTTTTATACTTGGGAATTTGTGATCCAATACTTTTTAACATTATTAATGGAATTTTCTTAGCCTTTTCTGTAGTACGTATATTTGTCCCAAAGATTTTTCTGTACAGACTATGGCTTGGTGGTTGGGGGTACTCGATTCGCAATCTGTGGGTCACGGGTTCGAATCCTGTCACTGAACATGCTCGTCCTTTCAACCGTGGAGTTGATATAATGTGACGGTCAATAGAATAGCCCAAGAGTTGGCAGTGAATAGTGTTGCCCAGCTGCCTTCCCCCTAGCCTATCACTTTTTAAATTAGGGACGACAGCGTAGATAGCCCTCGAGTAGCTTTGCGCGAATTTCCCAAACAAACACAATATGTTCGTTATTTATCTCAGGACTTAGCCTAGGTTTGGTT